TGCAGTAGGTCTTGGACGATAATAAGTAAAAAGGAAAACTGTTGTACTTGCGTTCAACGTATACACACGTGCAGCCTGCACGCGTTTTTGCGACCCGAACAAGGACGAAGCGAACGCGTGCACGGTGCAGGGCGCGACGACGGTGGGATTCGAGCGTAACGCGCGAAGTACGGCGTCGTGTGTTGCTTCGGCTGCGACGGCGGCTGCTACGAACGAAAAACGGTCGTCATCGCTGCCTTCGTTCCATTGCCACAATAGAGGTCAATGACCATTGCCAGCGGAGTTCTTCTCCCCCTCGTCGACGTGCACTGCACAACGTGCGCCACCGACCGACCGCGACTGGCAACGTGTGTGCGCGCCTCGACGCAGCCGTATAATATCTTTTTTTCCCCAATTCTCTTTCTCTATCTGTCTTGTATCTTCTCAAGAGAAACAAATATCGCGTACATAAATGGCCTTTGGACTCTTTTTTTTTTCTCCTTCACGAAAACCGTGCGGAGCTATGGAAGGAGTTTGTACGCACACCGTCCGATATAATATGTACACACATATTGTGTATAGTTAACGCAGTATGTACTGTACGTTTTATGTAATTATACTATCTATCTTATTTATGTATTTTAATTCGAATTTAACATTTCGTGTTTAGAATACACGTTTAACGAACCGCGCGCACATAGTTACGATAAGTGTTTTACCGATTTTCCTTGACATTTTCTCTTCGTTCTCCCGTTTTTTTTTTTTTTTCACAAAACAATATAATACATGTATAATGTTATAATCTGCTGTTTGCCATGCCACGGACACCTGTCCATCAGCTGTTGTGCGTGTGTGAATGCATGCGTGTGTGCGTGCGTTCGATTCGACGACGTCGTCGCTTATTGTTCGATCGTAATTTTCCCTTCATATGTATTATAAATTTTCATATGGCCGCTTGTAATTTCTACACATATGAACATTATACTGTACAGCGTCGTCGTCGTTAGACTGTTTCGGAGTCGTTCCGAAGTGTAAATAACCGTTATTAAAATGACGTGCTTGTTCAACTGAGACGACGACGTGTGACGATGAGAATTCCGTCGCGCGTCGTCGAAATCTGTGAATTTCCTTCCGCCGGTGCGTGCGTTATTCGTTTTCGTCCGGGCAAATCTCCTCGTCTTATGCTGTGCGACAAATCGTTCTTTTTACGAAAAGCATAAAATTATTTTCATTAATTCACGTTTAGACTTGATGCTTATTCATACGTACGTTACTATTTATCCACATCATTTCTAATAATAACAAGTTTATAGTGGCGGAAAAGAGTTCGATGTTTTCGAAAATAATTCGTTTATACCTCCTATTTATATACGTTAATTTGTTGACCGGGATTTTTTTTTCTTGGGTTTGCGGTAACGAAACAAAATGAAAACGACATTAATACTTCGTACCAATGTCGGCTATATAGACTATAATTTAATTTGAAGCATTAATATAATGTTGTAAACTACACGATGTCAAAGTAAACCTTTGTAATATAATGTGATTCCTTTGATCCAATAATAACGTCAATGGCATGGGGTAGGGCGGCGGTCTATCGATGAAATAATAATTGCTTAAGTCCATAATAATCGCTAATCCAATTGTATAATTTGCCAATAATATTAGTGAAATTGTTAATTCTGCTGTAGTATTTTATTATTTTTACAGCTTATACTGTCACATATAAGTGTTATGTTCAACTGTATTTCTAAGTAACGTTGGCCAGCAGTTATTTTTTTTTCTGTAATAACTATAATATTGTTAGATATTTTGAATACTTCATATGTATATGTATATGTGTTGACATGAAAATGAGGAAAACAGATATGACACAGTCAATCGTAGCAACAGTGAAAATGCTGTAAGCGGATTAGTTATGAAAAGTCAATGGTAAACGTTTTTGACGGGAAGCTTACGGCCTTTAGAATAGTAATTGATCGCGTGTAAATGTGTAAACCTTGCATTTCAATCGTTTAAAGCGTATTTTTTGTTTCGTTTTTTCTTTTTTAACAGGCGGCAAAAATCACGGTCATTTTTAGTTAATGGTATTAGTTAAATATTTTTGTACCGCCATAATAATTACGCCATCGAACTGCCACATTTATAATGATCCAGTATTCCTGAGAGAAGAGGAAAAAGAAAAAATAAGAAGACCATGGAAAAGAGTAGTGGGGCTGACTGAGTCGTATTGATGGAAATTTTTCTGTGCAACAATCACGTTTAAGGGTGTTCGTTGCCAATGGTATTTTAGGGTGAAGCAAAAACTACTGCACACATATTATACATGTAATACAAAAAACGACGAATCCCCCTGTTGATTTGATATTGTGAAAAACTGTAAGCTGCCTTATTCTCAGGAACCTAGAGAATAGGTGGTGGACATGTTCTCCGTTTATAGGGATACATGCACGCACACACACCGCTATTGATTTTCCGCATGTCTTCAGGGTTCGTATTCTCTCTCGGTGTGTATATAGTTGTTCTTTATGGCTTCATGTGTACATACATTCATATATACGAATACACACACATACACACGTGTATATATATATATATATATATATATACATAGGTACACATAAATACACATTCACACACTTCCTCACATATACATTTCGTTTAGCCGCACCCACCCACACATTGCTCTGTAAAAGTCCAATTCTCGTCATTAATTATTACCACACACAAGCGCGGCGCGCCCGGGTATTTACGTATATATACACGTCGACCGCCTCCGCCACTAATACCACCACCGCCGCCGTACAACAGACACTTTCGTCTACCCGTCGTCCTACTCTGCATTCAGTCGGTTTTGTACATTGTGTGCATATTAAAAGCTCAATCGATATTTAGTGTGGTATTTATATATATATATATATATATATATATATATATATATATATATATACACCCCACCGGTGTAAACGACAGTGGCCGTCTGAAAATATATGACCCATAACATTGTAGTAAACATCGCGCAAAGAGATTGCACACATTATTTATTCATCATTATGTATGGGAGCCCAATGATGGAGGAAAACGTGTAACATATATTCAACCGGGTACCCCGAGTAATTACTTGTGTCCATACGTGTATGGACTCGTACTTATGTTTTTATAGAGTATCGTCAGTATAGATGATTTCTTGACAAACTTGGCTCCCGATTAATAAATTGACAGTAATGCGTAATTACGTCGAAAGTGGTTTTTGTCATCACTATGATGTATACGTAAACGTGATGTTTTTACGGATTTTTATTCTCGTCTTTGATCTCGAGTTGTACTACGGTTGAAGTTTATACGCATATGTATATGTGTGAGTATTTTCACACAATCGATATCGCTGCGAATGCTGCTACTGACCTCATAATTCCATGGATATTCTCCAGTTTCCATGTGTTACCAGTGAATCATAAGTTTTAATTGTAGTAGTATGTTAGAGGAGGTGCATCGCGTATTATGCATTCTTCGTTGTTTCAACCCCTTTGATGCCGCGAACTGTGTTGAGCGCCAATAGAATGACAACACCGAACACGCACGAAAGCGATGTATTTTTTTTTTTTTTTAACTTTTGAAACAACAACTGTTCGACGAACACGATTGCCGCCGTCAATTAATATTTTATTACTTATCCTTTCGGACGCGAAAAGTTTTTACAAACTGTTCGTCCACGGTCACACCGACGTTCGATTATTATCCGTGTAGGTCCTATTGTTTTCATTTGCCGTGCAATAACGGCGGCACACACGTATAGTGTATTTTCCGCCCCTTGTTCTCTCCGCTGTACAATAATTTTCATTTTACCAACCGTCATTGTCGCGTCTACAGTTATTTGAATAGGTTCGTAACACGAATGTGTCCCGAAGCAGGTAAAAGTCCGTTCAACCCGTACAGCACCACCAGTAGCGTTCACCGGTAGACACGCGTTTACCGTACTTGTGTGACCGTGTGTAATTCATCACGGCCTATACGATAATCGACGCACGTATGGATGGTTAGCAAAATTAACGCTGTTTTAAAACAATCGTGAGCGCTTCAATGTGTGACGAACGGTGCGGTGTACGATATTCCACCATGCCATCAGCATCCGGCGAGTACGTACGTATTCCACCTGGAAATCTTTCTACGTGTGTGTAACGACATGTGTCAGGTGTGCGTGTGCCGGCAGCTGCCCCTGCGAGTCGGTCTGTCGCCGATCTAAGAAAGGTTACACCGGAGGCGGTGGCGGCGACCGTGGTCTAGCGATTCCCCGACTACGGCTGCTGCGGTCAGGGTTGCTCAATGGATATAAAAATAAAAAAAAAAAGGTCGTCCTGAAGCCTCTCTCCGTGTGCAGGCAGCAGCGCCCCGACCGTACGAGGCTACGTTTTTAGACGCACTACCTGTGGAATTCACCAGAATCTTTTGCGCACAATGAAAACATTACCTGTCTCGCCCGTACCAGATGTTCACTGTGTGCGTACCACGTAGGGTCGTCGTGCGTCTGGAACTGCAGTGCGCCTACAAATGTTTCACAATTTGGTTTTTTTTTCTCTCTTATAGTAGTTGTTGGGTACCGAGAGCGGTGCTTCCGTTATAATTGAATGATGGACTGACACTACAGAATTTTTGATTTACAGAATTGAATCCTTTTGAATACGGTAAAAATTGGTTATGGCACGATTTTCAATCATAAATCGTTGGTACGATCGGTAACCGATGTGGATATTCTTGTTTGTGACACGCCGAAATGTTAATAATTACATTTTATAAACGATATTATATAAAGATTAAAAACGAATTTGTATATATGTATTTATTGTGTGTATTTTATGTGGTTGATGCATGTAGTCAACCCGGGGGAGCTGTGTCGCTTATTTATTGCTGAAACGACAATGCCCGTTCATTGCTTTTTTTTTTTTATAAATAATAAGAAACACTCAAAAGACAATCCAGACACATGTAAATATATGGAATTTTTTTGTTTTGTGTTCTTATAGGATGGAACGCGAGAAACAACGAGAGAAAGAAAGACAGTCCAGACAGCAACAAGTATCGGAAAATAACGTTAAAGATAAAAAAGAACTGTTCGGTTCACCAGTAAAGGTAATTTTTCGTTACGTTATTTATGTTCCGTTTTAGTGTAGTTTTGTCGACGTCATTACCCGTCGTCTCAATTGCGTTTGTTCCTCGTATATTATGTGTGTGGTATATATTCTACTTGATCGTCATTTTTGGGCGTGGTGTAGATTAGCAGCCCGTCTTCCGGATATTGTAAAGAACCCAGGAATTCCCTTTCTCTGCGGAGCGGAGAAAATAGACAATTTACTTTTATTTTCGTCCCCACCGCGCGTGCTTGTACGGTCCTTGCTTCTGTATGGCGTGTCGGCGGTTGCCGTCGTTTTCGCCGATATTAAAGGGAGCTTGTTTAATTATCCGTCCACGTGAATGTATACAATTCAAGACCGACGCATGAATATAATATATTATAGTCATCTATATTACATTGGGCGTTTGAATTTTTCACGACCTGCTACGTGAAGGTATAAATCTCGGTCGTAATACATATACAGCGAGATGAATTGTCTAGAATTTTTTGGAAAAAAACATTTTCCGCGCTTTTTCCCACTGGACTTCCACCTTGTCCCTACTACGACGTGCAATATATCATGCGTAATGGATATTATTACGTCGCGTTTGCATTGCATTAACGCCGGAAACACGCATTACAGGTGAACGATAAGAAATTAATTTATATTCCATGTGCGCCACCGTGTTATCGTTGCGTTGCCACGATAGTTTATCTAAAAAAAAATTCCTCCGATGCACTGCTATTGTTTTTCGTCGTTTTGCGCACTACTGCGTGGATAACATATACATGTTAATACAGACCTACAAAATATCATCATAATATGTAAAGATATTAGTGTTCAAATGCGAAATCGAAAATCGTTCAATTGTTCGAATAGTTCGCCCGTCGCGATAGTCAACGCGCACTATACGATTTACTTACGCATGCTTATACATGCACACGAGATACAGTGTCGGGTGGCGGTTACCGTCTTCTGGCTCACGTTTATTTATCTTATGCCGTCGACGAGATTTCAGCCAGCCGTTGACCCCTATGTGCATAATGCGATGCACTCGCTTTGGGGACGACGACGATCCCTCGAAGGATGTAGTTTATTATATTGTATGAAATGCGTTTTGATGGTTGGTCTAAGTATAGGATTACACGTGTGATATAAAGAGACGGCAACGTGCGATAAAAGGAAAGGGTTAAAAGAAATAATATTTGTGTCGCCACACACATAACTGGTTTCTGGTCCACGCACGATGAAAGGGAAGAAAGGGCTATGTTGTAGGAATTGTGTTTTATATTTACCGTAACATAATGTATCAAGGGCGATGGCTTATGGTCCTGATGATTGTTCTTTATCTCGCACATATTTGTTCTTGCAATGAATTCAAATGAAAATACGCTCGGACATTACTGCACTCTTTCGTCTTGTTCATATATATTTACTATACAATAGTATTTTTATCTACCGGTGCATTACTCGAATCGATTTTTATATAATATAATGCATTCAATATAAACAGCTGACTCGCTGCGATTGTGCGATTTTATAATGAAAATACCCTTCGAATAACCCGATGTTTACCAACATATGTATATACCTTACCTAACTTCCAGCTCGCATACGACACATAGTTGTGTTCGTATTTTTATTATTCTTATTATTATTTTTATTATCATTATCATTATACTTATGCATAACATCTAGATTTATACACATAAATATATATATAAAAAATAAAACATCAGACCGTGTCGAGAGTCTCACGTAGGGACCGTGTGGAAGATAAACGTATTCAGTGTCACGCCGGAGTTCGTGATCTTTCCGATTTAAATACGCACACAATTATTTGTTTTTTTTTTCCGTCTCCCTGTTTCTATTTTTATTTTAGTTTTTATCAGCAATAATGTTCCGATTCTGTTGCCTTTGCAACGACACAGTAAAGTTATTTTGTCATCCTGCACACGTACCACTCGTTTACAAAGACGGTAAAGTCGATCTCCAATCACATTGGTACATCGCGTATATATGTATATACATTTATGATAAAATACTGCTGTATTGCTGTACAAGCTTGCGCTGCCATTACTACTGTTGCAATGCCGCATGTTTGCAGTCGTATAGTAATACGAAATCAGACGTTCGTTCTGAACGAGAATTATAAGTCAATATATTGCGCGAAAAAGACGCGGAAAAAAAGTAATCCGGACTTAAGGTAAACGGGAACGATTTTTTTCTTTTGATATATATATATATATATATATATATATATATGTAAACATATATATGCAATCTGTTTTATTCTGGTATTATTGAATCACGGCGTTTTATGATTTTAATCGATATAATACCTAATATACATCATGTATCTATAACGTCTTTAAAAAAAAAAAAAACATCAAAAGTACTTCGTAATATTTTTCGTTATATTATAATATATTTGTAAGAATATTTTTTTTTAAAAATTGTGTTCATAATGATTTTCAAATTTAAATGAAGAGTATAATGTAGTATATAAATATATCAACTATATACCATATTATGCATTCTAGTTATTTAGGTAAATTTTATAATATATGTTAAGTATAATGCTCTATATTCCATTTGTCCATTTTCATATCTAACTTAATTTGTCATACGCACGTATCGGTCTTTTAAATTAATTGCTTTTGTTTGGATAATATTATTGTTTGCGCCGAAGTAGTCCCTACAATGGTGGCGGATGACCAGTCCGACTCGCGGCCTAGTTTTTGGAAGAATGACGGTGACCTTCGTGTATATAATGTTTACGTACACGAAAGAATAAAAGAACACGTATTGAAACTATCATGCAAGCCAACAGCGCCGCGTACTATTAAAATACACAATATTAAAATACAAGTGTATGTGGACGAGCGCCCATAAGAGGGGGGTAAATAATAGTATACTCACAAATATAATAAGAAGTGAAAATAATAATAATATGATATAATAATAATTGATAATCATATCACCGGACGCCACAGTGCTGCCAGCAGATGCGCGCCAAACTGCTTCGAAGAGTGAACGACGCAACAGCGATGATTGTGACCGATGTTGGAAATCCCCAATCGAAAAAAAAAAACCGGCGGTGATATCGGTGATCACGGGATCGGCACGTGAGCACGACGGCTCCGCGGAAAGACGGCGGTGGCAAAAGTATTGCACAAAGAAAATGTTGAGAGGAGCACGAATCGCCCTCGATGACACAACGCGTGAATAACGCATTCGCGAACCTTTAACCACGCGGTATGGTTGTGTAGCGTTCGAGGCGAACGCGAAAAAATGGCGACGACCACACGTTGCAATGGCTGACGAAAAGACGGTGACGAAGAGCAAGAAAAAAAGTTTCGTACACGGCGGCTGTAACGGTCGGCGTGAAAAGCGATAAGCGGAGAGGGCGAATGGGGTACGCGGGGCGCGTTCCGGTTTTTTTTTGTGCAACGGGCGGCGACGGCGGGTATCGAAGCTCGCTGAACTAGTACCGCGGTGTAATCGCAAAGCGGTCACTGGCAGTTTGCAATTTCGGCGCGAAAATGATGTAGGGCGCGAACAATTCCAATAATGGATTTAATCTGTTTTCAACTTAACATACTTAATTACGCTCGCAGAAAAGTGTAGCATTTATTTGTATAACCGTGGTTCAATCTACCTTAATACATTACGCAATATTAATGATTATTATACACAAACCACATTGTTGTTAAGATATTGCTCCGAATTCTGTTCATTAAAAACATTAATAGACCCTAATAGTTTGTACCATATATTTTTATATTATTATTAATATGATCGACACAGTGTAGTGTCTTCAAATAATTCATGTAAATTTATGTCAATAGCTTGTTGGTATTAATATTTTAGTATTTATATAATTATTTACAATATGTGCATTTTCATGTCACGTAAAAGTTTTTAGTTGTCTTTCAAAAATATTTCCTAACTAGGAAAAACGATAAAACTCTCCTCGGGCGGCGGTATTCGTAGTTTTCCCCTTGACCTACTATTGTACTCTGTGTAAGATTTTTTTCTCCCTTGCAGGCTGTTATCTAATTATCTGTTTTCGTTGTCGTCGGCGATAGGGCGCGGCACATAAATGACTTTGTCTAATGCCAATTCATTTATACGAAACGAAGTTAATAGAAATGTGTCACGGAGACAACGGCGGCTTAATGTTATTAAAACCGGAAACCGTTTCCGAACTATGGAGGCAATTTTAAAGATTTCTATTTTAAGACGGAACTGCTGCTTCACTGCCAGCGTATTTTTAACGTATAAAATACATTCCTATTTCTTATGCTTCTTAGGGTACGCTTATACGGTCATGTTTTCTTATTATTCTAAAAAGAAGGAAAACATTATAATGTTGATCGAGAGTAATCTAATGAAAATAAACTAAAACCATATCAGCCAGGCGCGTACACAAAATAATATTTTTTGGGGTGTGGGTTTATATTGTACATTTTCCTACTTATGTAATTTACTTACAACTTATACGCTATCCAAATATGATAATTTTCGTCAATTTTGATTATCGAACCCCCTATCCCTCTTTGTGTATACGCCTGATATCAGCTAATTGTGAAATAATACTGAATCATGCTGAAAAATGATTTATCTACTAAATAAAACATTATTGTTTATGTACAAAGATTACGTTACAACAATTCTTTTGATAACTATGGTAATGATAGTTGAAAACGATGGCCATTTTCTTTATGTTTTCGTAGTGTAAACATTTAAATATCTAAATAGTAAAAAATAATCCACAATTGTTTCCGTAATAATATATGTTATGGCACACCGTATAGACGGTGGATATGTTGAGGGTATTCTGTGTACCTGCAAATATGTAGATACCTAAAAACTTAAACAGACTGATTTTATCACAAAAGTACGCATGTGTGCGCTTACTCGGTACACAGTTTGCTGTTACTTATAATGTATAGTATTACACTGACGGCGGAAGTCGATAGCATTGTGTGTGGGACGACAATGATTATGTCG